CAAACTAATTGCAATTGTTTCAGAATTTGGAAAACATTTGGTGAATATCCTTAGTTTATGACAATGTAGCTCTGTGCATAAGTTCAATAAGAATCTATTTTCTTTCATAGCAGGACATAATTGGGGACATTGGTGATTTTATCAAGGCTTTGACTGTAATGACATTTTCAGATTGCCTTGAGAAAATGAGGCTGACCTATAAAGCCAATAAAAGCCCCTTGGAAAAACTGGGATCATACATTGTTATTTGCAGGGTCCTGACCTGTGGTAAGTAAAGAATGTCACTTTCTGACAAGTCCAGGAAACTCGAGTTTTCTTGAGACCTTGAAAAAAAAGGAATTCACCCAATTCACACAGGTATCTGCAGGCACAGTGAATTCTTAGCTGGGCTCAAGGCTTTTAAAAAGCTCAAATCTTAGATGTCTTATGAAAAGCTTCTAGCAAAGCCAATTTTATAAAGAAAAAGAGAGAGCCTGCATGGCAAATGATTATTCTTGCTGTACTTTACGCAAATAATCAAGCCAAGTATAGTAAAACTAAAACTTATTTTAAACATAAATTGTTCCTACTATGATTTTGTCCTGAATAAAAGTTGAAAATTGGAGAGAGAAAAATTACATTTCAAACTAAACTATAGTACACCTGTTATTAGATTCTAGTCTTGCCTAATGTTTCTGGCTTTTATTATTTTCCACAATTTAGACTGAATTCTAAAATTTTTCCTGGCTACAAGTCTCCAAATTAATGCTTTCAATATTTTCCCTTCTTTTTTTTCCTTTTTTGTTCATTTTTCTTTAATTGAAATCGCTAGGAATTAAGCTGTGCTCTTCTTAAAGCCATGCAAACAAACTAGACAACTTAAACTTTGGAAGAAAATAATAGCAACCTATTTATATACATAAACCACTTTTATACCTGCCTACTATGTATGAACTTCAGAGTAATACAGCCCATATCAGTTTTCCAAGGCTGTTTTCACTTTTTGTTTGTTTGTTGTTTTCTTTCTCTCTTCCTCTCCCATTTTTTTTTTTTCTTTGTGGGATGTGAGACCTTACAATCTGCTATAAATGAGCTTTCCTAACAATGTGGGACCTGTCTGTCTAGGAATAAACTGTCCTAGCCATGAGAGATCAGACAAAACCAGAGACTCATTTTCTTCTAAAATGCTTTCTCAGAAAGATTTTAAAAAGAAAAAGGCAGCGAAATGTGAAAGGAAAATAAAAACAACTCCAGTTCACTTTGCTAAAAGAAAAAAAAATTAAGCTGAAAGCTAAGTCATGCAAGAAGCTGACTTTCCTATTGTTTCTAAGTAGATAGCAACAGATAAAAGGCTAAACATCTCCACAGGCAGCTTCTCTATGTTCACCTTATATATAGTGTGCTGGTTTACTGAGCATGAGACAAATACACAATTGACTATTTCTCTACCTGCTACCTGCTCCTTTTCTCTTGTAACATATGGATTATCACACCTTCCTTTTCTCTCCTCTCGCCCACTTTTTCCCTTTAAATATTGAAGCCCTCAAAATCATCTTTGAAGTAAGGCACAGACTACAGACTGTTTCTGCAATTCCATTTTCATTTGTTCCTGGTATGTCCTTAGCCTTAGCAAATAAATTACTAAATTGATTGAGGACCTGTCTCAGATACTTTTGGGTTTAGACCACATTCTCCTTGTCCTCATATTTTTTTTTCTTTTTCTGAGACGGCGTCTTGCACTGTCACCCAGGCTGGAGTGCAGTCGTGTGATCTCGGCTCAGTACAAACTCTACCTTCCAGGTTCAAGCGATTCTCTTGCTACATCCTCCTGAGTATCTGGGATTACAGGCGCCCACCATCACACACAGCTAATTTTTTGTATTTTGTATTTCACCATGTTGGCCAGGCTGGTCTCGAACTTCTGACCTTGTGATTCACCTGCCTTGGCCTCTCAAAGCACTGGGATTACAGGTGTGAGCCACCACACCCAGCCTCCTGGTCCTTAAGTGAGCACTGGAAAATGTGTTCTCCTTAGAGTCTGAGCAGCTTTCTCAGATAACTTCCTGTCCACAGAAGGTTGAAGCCCCATGATCACTTCAAGTTTATTTACAGTTTCCTTTAGTCTTGCCTGATAGATATTTTGGCATGTCTCTCAAAAATTTAGTCAGCTTCTTCTATATTTGATTCAAGCCAGCTCCACATACCATGATTGTGTGTCTCCACTGTACTGAGTCACAACTTTCTCTTTTACTTCTTTCTTGTAGGTACCTTGAATCTATTAAGCTCTGTCATGGGAAGATCTGTACCATTTTGTCCAACTGAAAAGATTCAAGGAGTACCACTTGAATCTATTCCAAGGTTTTAGTCATGGGTGTGATCCTTGCCAAGAGGTTGGGTTCTAATCGCCTTTGTTGTTCATCTCAGTTTTGTTTTTCAATGAATAATAATGAGAATTACTTGCATCTTCTAAACACGTGTGTCTCCAAATTTATAGCTCCCTATAATCACTTTCATTCCTAACCGCAAGCTGGACAATTATTTTCTGAACTTATCGTTTCCTGTAGCATTGAGGCAGGAGGACAGGGTCTGGAGGCAAGAAACCTAAGGCCAATTCACACTGACTTCCTAAAACTAAATCGAAAGGAAAACTCCAACTTTCCATGCCCAAATAACAAAAGGACTCGAGGCTACGCCCTTTGCAGCCCCCATCTTTTCTGCATGACAGGTTAAAAAATTGCAACTACCCACACACTGGGGTCTATTGGAGGGGTAAATAGGGGAGGGACAGTGGGGGATGGGGAGTTGGGGAGAGATAGCATGGGGAGAAATGCCAGATACAGGTAATGGGGAGGAAGGCAGCAAATCACACTGCCATGTGTATACCTATGCAACAATAGCATCATAGCAGCGTAGACAGAGATGATGACAGTGGCAAGGGTTGTGGGGGATATGTGAGGATGCAGGCAGTAGTAAGTAGTGAAGATGGCAAGAAATGAACAAATTTAAAACATATTTTGAAAGATTTACTGATGGATCAAATAAGCGAAAAGTTGAGAATGGAAGAGTGATTATGACTCCCATGTTTCTGGTTTTAGTGATAGGGTGGTTGGTACTGCCATTTACAGAGATGTATCGGGGATAACTAGGTTTAACTTCTACAGGAGACCAGATCCTATTCTGGACATGCTAAGTTTGAGAAATCCAAATGAGTAAGAAGTTAAATATAAGAGTGGATCACGGCCGGGCGCGGTGGCTCAAGCCTGTAATCCCAGCACTGTGGGAGGCCGAGGCGGGTGGATCACGAGGTCAAGAGATTGAGACCATCCTGGTCAACATGGTGAAACCCCGTCTCTACTAAAAATACAAAAAATCAGCTGGGCATGGTGGCGCGTGCCTGTAATCCCAGCGACTCA